TGGAGAAAAGTACCTGCCCAAGCCAGTAATTGGTGGAGCCTAGATGGTGGGTCCAAGGCCCACCAATCAACACCCACTGCCTCCCCAGCCTCGGGGCCTTCTTTGCAGCTGGGTAGAGGCTAAGAAATTATAGGGCTGATCTTGCTTAATCAGCCTAATAAGATGTTTAGTGCTTCTGTTCTATCTCTTAGTTCATTGCGTAGTTCCTGGGGTCTTAAAAGCTTGCAAGTGGCCATCCATGGCACAACAATCGATCCCTATTCTTCTGGAGGAACAGAGGAAGGAGAGTCAGGAATCCGAAGATGATACGGGATGGGAGGCTACTGCCTCCACGAACAACTGCCTTCTTTGTCATGAGACCAGAAGAACTGGATGGTGCCCAGCTACCATTTCGGAACATTTTGATAAAAAATTCCATGGACAAAACTTGAACGAAAGGGTCAATATGCAGAACAGAATTTCAAATTCCCATGGACTTCAGACATCCTGGAGCCATGAAGGTTGGATGAACCCCTGAAATTACTACCCTGAGATAATCTTTAAGCCTTAAAGCGAAAATATCCCCTGAAGTCTTCTTAAAACAAAACATTCAGTTTAACTAGTGAAAAATGTCTGCCTTTAGCATTATGCTTGTCTAAGAATTATCTTACTTTGGTCAAGTTGTCAGAAGGGACCAGTGCCTGGAGGATATCATGCTTGGTAAAGAAAGGGGTCAGAGAAAAAGGGTAAGACTCTTAATGAGATGGATTGACACAGTGGCTGAGATGATGGGCTTACGCATGACAACAATTCTGAGGACACTGCAGGACCGGGTAGTGTTTTGTTCTGTTGTACACGTACACAGGGTCACTATGAGTCAAAACTTACTTGACAGAACCTAACAACAACAACAACAACTATCTATATGGGATCAGAGTGACAACAGCAACTTAAAAGATTAGGTAGGAACCTTAGGGGGCAGTGAGTTTGAGGGAGGAACAACTCAGAAAAGGAGGGTGAGAATGGTCCAACTGGAAGAATGCAGTGAGCGTTACTAAATGGTACATAGAGAAACTGTTGAACTGCTGATGTATGTCTTGCTGTGTATATTCTCAATAAAATTAAATAATTTTAAAGAAACCGCGTGTCTGGGTGTCTGAGGAGTCATAGAAGGAAAACTGGAACAAAAGGGGGACCGTAAATGCCCTTGGTCTCTGCC